AAATCCTTCTAAAATGTATTTATACTTCCTGCCATAGTATAGAGTATAATAAGCAAAATTCAAACCTTTTTATAATCCATTTATATTATAAATATCTATTAATGCACTGAGGTTTGCAGAAGCTACTGAAAACACTCAGCTTACCTTTTACGCAATTCTCTGCAACTGCTCTAATTTTCTATTTGGTGAGTCTTTCCTCTCCTCTCCTGTCAGCTGTCAAATTTCAGAACCTCAACCTAACAGCTCCCCACCCACAGCTTCTAATCTGTTACCTAGGAAAAAGTGAAGATGCCAGAAGAAAACAGATATTCAAATTTGCTAAATTAGTAATCCTAATTTCAAATACGATTTTAAGTTAGTAGGCCATGGAATAAAGCTGGTTCCCACTCTTTTGCCAAGTAAAGTACATAGGATTTATGATAGCTACTTCTCTACACTTGACCTTAGCCAAAGGGCCAAGAAGAGATAGCTAGCTACTTTCCTTACTGCTTAAGAGACCTTTCTCCACAACTTTTGGTTTTGTGTTTCAGATGGTGAAAGTTATTAAAACCCATACTGGAAGTAAGGACATTTGTTTGCAGAATCTCAAAGGCAAAGTATTATGAATTCCAAATTTATAAATGACAGATCATGGAACAATGCGACATATGTAACTGACTCTCAAAAATATTTATCATGTGAAAGTTGAAGCACAGATCAACTAAGTGATTTCCTCAAAATGACTCAGCTATTTAAAAAAACATCAACTGGAATCAGTTTTTTATTGCCCAATATTCTTTCTTTGGATCCATGTTCTTTTTACAATGTATTTTTCTATCAAACAATGATGCTAATGACCCACTATCCCTAAGACATTCACTTTGAGTTGTTAGCACTCTGACTCCTTTCCAATCAATAATGTGTATATCTCCTTTTTGTGCCCTTCCTTTTGCTCTCCCTTTGTGGCAACAGTGGGTCCTTGCCACAGTGGGTCTGGTCATCATCTGTGGCGTATGTATCATGCTCTGTAAACCTTTATCTTGCTCTTGCCCTATAATCCTATCTTTCTCTCCTCAATAAACCTCATTTTCATGCTTACCTTAAAAAATAAATAAATAAAAAATAAATAATGTGTATATCTGCAAAAAGGCTAATCAGGCAAGGAATCCAAACAGGGACTTGACTCTGATGGTAAATAAGACCCAGTCCTTGTCCTCCTGGGGCTTATATTCTGGAGGAGTAATATAATTAGTAAGCAACTAATTACCCAAATAAGCTATCAAGGGGAAGTACAGAGTGCCAAGAGAACAGATGAAGGTAAGTTGATATACTCGGAGCAATTAGGGCCTATGAGGCTGTACATGCTACTAGAGCCACCTAATTTTGAAATATAAATCAGCTAAAGTCTCTCTTCTATTTAATACCAACGCCAGCCCCCCACTTCCCATTGCACTTGGTCTGGTTCCTCCCCTAGACCTCCAATATCATTTTAACATTTTTCTTCTCTTATTCCAGCCACACAGAATGTTTTTTTGCAACCTGCCAAGCTTGTTCCCACCTTAGGGTCTTTGGGCTTGCTGCTCCCTCTGCCACAGATACTCTGTCTCCAGATCTTTCGACAGCTTGGCTGCTTCAGAACACATCAGCTTAAATGTTTCCTAATGGAAACTATTCCCATTCCAAACCAAATTAGACATCCTACCCCATTTAATCTTAACGAAGTCACTATTTTCTGTGACTTCTGTGATTGTGCTTTATTTTGGTGACCAGAAAAAAATATTTATTATGACTTTTATGAGTTTATTCATGACATCAGCCCCCACTTAAGAGGGAAATAAAATCTTATAAGATTTTATAATAGAGATTTTAAAATCTCTTAAGATTTTAAGTTTCAACTAGGTTCCTGGATTTTTCAGAAACACAAGCCTTTTGGATAGAAGAGAAAATTTAAATTATTGAACCTCTTATTTTGGTCTCCTTCACCTCATGATAAAGCAGCTAAGCTAATTATAACCAGGCTGAAGGCAGTGGCACTTCTAAGGCAAAAGCACAGGAACAGCAAGAAAAGCAAAGGAGAGGGCAGAATGAGAAAGATCTTGCTATTCCCAGAACATGCTACCCTTGAATCTTAAAGCCTTGCATCTCAATGCCTTTACTGTTCCCTCTTCCCCGAAGGCTCTTTTACCAGTTATTTGTGTAACTTAACTTTACCTATCTCCTTTGCTTAAATGTCACCTTCTATATGATGCCTGACCCACCCTTATTAAAACTGAACCTCTCCCCACTTTCCTCCCTATTCTGCCTACTAGCTTTATTAAACCCCAAAGCTCTTATCATCATCCATATAAAAGAGATTTCACCTGTTTATCTTCTACCCCCAAAACGTAAGTCTCCAACCCCCACCCACACTCTCACCATAATATAAGTTCCATGAAAGAGATTTGTCTGTTTTGTTTGTGTGGTATCCCCAGTGCCTAAAATTTTGCCTGGCATATATCAGCTCTTCAAAAATTTTTTGATGAACAAATGAAATGAAAAAATAAGAGTGGCAAGAAAGCCCAAAATTGTGCCAAGAGTCAGTTGGTGGTAGCAGCGATTTTGTATCTCTAGATTAGAGTACAATCTTGACCAACTATCCTGTGTACAATCCTTCAGATTGGGAAGATAAGGAGGAATGGGAGTAGAACAATTACATTTGTATTAAGAACTACAAAGAGTTGAGTACTTTTGCATTTTTTTCTCCAAAGTAGGTTTATTATATATTATCTAAAAATACCCCAAAAGGCTGAGCACAGTGACTCACACCTATGGGAAGATCACTAGAGGCCCAGAGCTTGAGACCAGTATGGGCAACTAACTGAGCAAGATCATCTCTACAAAGAAAAAAAAAAGTAGCTGGGCATGGTGGAGTGTGCCTATAGTCCCAGCTACTTGGGAGGCTGAAGTGGGAGGATAGCTTGAGCCGGGAGTTCAAGGAACCCGTGATCACACCACTGCCTGAGAGACAGAGCAAGAACCCATGTCTTAAAAAAAAAAAAAACCCAAAAAGAAAAACAAAAAAATCTATACAAATTTAGTAATCTCTCTTTTTTCTCTTTTGATTTCTTGGTCTTAATAATCCCTTTGAATTTTTGCTTATCATTTATCCAAGAAAATTTCTGAATGAACACATGTACAGCACTGGAGTAGATACTGCAGAGATGTTAATATATATCCATGACAGTTCTTACCTCCTGTCATTTTTTAGGATATATAAAATGTATAATTCCTCACCTACCACAAGGCAAGACCTAACTATCAAAAAGAATGAGGAAAATAACTATGATACATCAGCTGTCGATATCAGGAAGAATTCAAAAAGCAGTTGATATCTGAGATGGGTATTTTAGGATTTTGGTAGGTGGTGTTAAGGATGGACTGCACTCTGTGAAAAGAAAATGGCAAGAATAAATATGAGGAAGGAGAAAGACAACGGTTCCATTTGGAACAATGAAAATACACCAGATTTGGTATAGCTGAACACTAGGATTAGTAAAAAGGCTGGAAAAAGGGTCTCGGATGCAGCTAAATGGTTTGGATTTTATTATAAAGTCAGTGAGGACGCCGTGGAAGAAAATGGGAAATGCTATGACCAAAGCAGCATTTCTGGAAGATCAATCTGATGCTGATAAGCAAGACAGACTAGAGGAGGAATAATGAGCAAAGCTAGGGAGACTCATTAAAAGGCTTTGTTGGTAATCCAGGAGTTCATGAGACTAGGGTGTGAACCACACAAATACACAAATTAAAAGTGAGAGGGTATATATGAAAGACATATAAGTGAAAACTGCATAGAGCTTGGCAACAGACTAAGTGCAAGGAAGAAAGGAAAACATTAAAACTAACTTTTGACCTTGGATAAACAGGAATATAAAAAGACAGAAACAAGGAAGTAGAAAGAAAAGTTAATTTGAAGAGAGAAGAGTAGTTTAGACTTAGCCGTGTTAAAGTAGAGATGCCTGCAAAACATAGGGCCAAATGGGCCAGGTACATGAAGAAATGGCTGACTTGAGCTTGGAAGAGAAGTCTTCTATAAAGGAAACGATAACAGAAGTAATAGAAATAGATGAACTTTCCTAGAAGGGCTGTAGGAGGGGGCTATACTGTCGAGGACTGACACCTTGAGAAAGGGTCCCATTTGGGGGCTGGAGGAAAGGGAAGCCAAACAGTACAACAAACGACTGCCAGGAAGTTCAAATGATTCAGAGAAATGTAAGTAAAAGACAAAGGAAAAGTCAAAAAGAAATTGATCCACAGAGGAAAACTGCCACAGTAGTCAAGAATTAATTCTATGTATTTGTAATTACAAATATACTAACTAACTTTGTAACTAAAACATTTCAATAAATTGCAAAGCAAAGAACTATTATCCACTTTCTAGGTAAAGGTTTGGCACTTGCCTACTTTTTCTGACTGATTCCTCCTTTGGCAATGCCTTTATTCTACGAATTCCTCAAGCTCTTCCCCGACTCAAGATCGTTGCACATGGTGTTCATTACCTCTGCCTAGAATACTATTTCTGCCATGTTTTAGAGCTAACTCCTTTTCATCCTCTTGATCTCAGCTTAACTGTCACTTTTTCAGAGACCACCCATGATTCTTGCTCCCCCCCAGTAAAAATTAGATTACACTATGATTACGCTGAGCTTTTCTTTGTGGCACTTATCAATTATAAAGCAATATGTTATCAGTTAATGCCTATCTCTGACATTAGAGTGGTAAGCTCCATGAGACGTGATGTCTCTATTTTGCTCACCTCAATCCCAACAGAGGAATGATACACGTGTCCAGACACGGTAAGTACTTGTGCATATACATACAGATAGGCAATAAATATTTGTTGAATATTCCAGTAAGAAATACAAGCAAACCCGAGCAGAACAAAACAGCATATAATCGTTCATTTTTTGAAACCAGCCGTAATAGTGGCCTGCTGATCTGCAGCAGGAATCGGCCATCACCAAGTTATCAAACCAATTTGCACAGTAAGCAAAAATACATCACTGCGGAAAAGAGGGCATATAATTTCACAATAGGCTACACCCATGTTCAGTGTGTAAGTATTGTAATTCTTATTAAGTATTGATTTTTCCCAGAATACGTGGAGACACAAGTAAAAAATGGGGCTGGCACCAGGACGTTAGGAACTCCACTCACTAACATCTCTGCATTAGCCTATCTAGCTGAGATGACGGCTCAAGGATGGATCTCTGCTGAAACAGAAGCTAATGCAATTATTTTATTCTTGGAAGGGAAACGCCAAGCTGCAACAGTGTTACCATCAGAATTTTGGAGTCCCCATGAGCTTAGACAGAACTAAACCAAGGCCACTCCATGAAAAGCCAGCAGCCCCTGGTGTGGGAGATAACAAATTTTGAGCCCCAGGGTCCGTCCGGGTTCTAAGGCTCCTTTCTCCGGACAAGCAGCAGGGTCTCGGGACACATAGCCAGGGGCCAGGCGACCTCTCGTACCTTGCTTGACTCGGGGATCCCTGGCGCTTGCAGCAGCGGCGGGGGGGGGCCTGACCACCGGCTTCTTGCTTTGGGCCTCCCCGGCAGCTCCGGCCTCGGCGGATTTGGCTCTGGAAGCAGACACGGCAGCCCGGGCCGCTGCGGCTGCCGGCGCCTTGTGTTTCTTGTTCTTGCCGCCCATGTTGCAGCTGTGGTAGAAGATTCCTCGCAGCCCAGGCCCCGGAGCCACCACAGCACAGCCACCAAAAGCTCTTCACATTCCCCGGCTCCGGCGCCGCCACCCTGCGTCCTCCATCCGGGCTTTTCGGGTAGGGGCGACCGCTGTCTCGCAATTGGTCCGATTCTCCAAGCTCCGCCTTTTTGCGTCCCCGAGTACCTGCCGCATGGCGCCGTACTCCCTCTTAGCCGTTGAGCTGTTGACTCGGTAGAGGTCGGAAAAAACACAAAGATCAAAAAGGAAAAAAATCCGGAGAGAATTTCCGTGCGCCGGGCGACTCGATTTCTTTTGTCTCCCACGGGCCACTGTTTTGACTTCACTGGGCGTCACTATCTGTGCGGTCGCGGGGCATCGTGGGTAGGAAGGAAATTCGGTCTCATAGCTCTGAAAGATGGCGGACGCATTTGGGGATGAGCTATTTAGCGTGTTTGAGGACGACTCGACCACTGCAGCCGGAACCAAAAAAGACAAGGAGAAGGGGAAATGGAAGGGTCTTCCAGGGTCTGCAGACAAGGCCGGGTAAGGAAAATGTACCAGTTGTTTTTATTTCTTATTTCGGTGCTAAGAGAAGAAAACACGACTCTCTTATGAAGAGCACGAGAAAGGCATACACTGAGTGGCGTCGGCAAATGAAGGGGTTTGAGAAAAAAGTTCGAGAGGGGAGAAGAATGCTGATTCGGGGAAACGGGGTCTTGGCGTTTCTTGATATAGGCAGGCAGCGTGAGCTTCTGACGCTTTCCCTACGTCTGTGTTGCTGGCTTTACCCCTATCTTCGCGGGTGAGGTGCGGGCAGGTAAGCTATCCCTTAGGTTGTGTAACCACAGCACCAGCACACCTGGCACATGGTGTTTAATAAACAAATGATTAGTTGAATAAAGGGGGTAGAAGCTTAGAAAAATGATTTGAATTGATTTGGGGAGGAGGAAGAGCAAATAGCAACAGGAGAAGGGAGAGAAATTTAATCTTCGAGCTGTAGTTTTCTCTCTCATAAGATGGAGATAATAGCCCCTACTGTTAGGGTTGTTGTGAGGATTAAATGAGGTAATACGTGTAAAGCACCTAACAACGTTTAGCACATTATAAACCAATGAACGCTGGCTATCGTGAGTTTATTTAGAAAATTCTTTAAAATTACTGTGTCCTACACATTTGTATAGACCGATGCATATAACCACCAAAAAGTGTACAAAACTGTTTATGGTAGAACAAGGAAAAGCTATTACTTAAATTAGATAAAGTAAGGTGACTCATTATTAATCAACAAAATGTATTCTTGGCGTGGAGGGGAGATACCTGATAGATGCTTGAAATTAAATTAGATATGATTTTGCTCTCAAGGAATTCGGTCTAGGTAAGAAGATAGAACAGATACACATTTTAAAGAGTTATAGTATAGGTTAGTGAGGGATGGACTTAAAATGAATGTTACATACAGTTAAGTGTTATGAAAGTTGAGGAAAGGGAGATAACTAATTGTGCTTTTTGGGGAGGCTTACGTGCAAGAGAATATTCTGGATTGAGGAAATGGTATGTTAATGGTGCCAAGATATTTTTTAGGAGCACAAATTGGACTGGAGGGAGTGTTTGCTTAGGGACCACAAGAAATAAGACTGGGAATATAAATTGGGTTTAGATAATGAGGGTCCTTTAATATCAAGCAGAGTAGTTTTTTGATTTTTTTTTTCCTCCTCCAGAGGCAGGGTCTTTCTCTGTCCCACAGGCTGGGATTTCTGGACTCAAGCTATCCTCCCACCTCAGCCTCCTGAGTAGCTAGGGCTACAGGAACTACAGGCCTGCGCTACCACAACTAGCTAATTAAAAAATTTTTTTTTTTTTAGAGATGGGGGTCTCAGGCTGGCTCAGGATGTTGCCCAGGCTGTTCTTGAACTCCTGGTCTCAAGTGATCCTCCCACCTCGGCCTCCCAAAGTGCTGGGATTACAGGCATGAGCCACGAAGCTAGTCCCAAGCAGAGGAGTTTTTACTTCATTTTAAAAACCCAGTTAAACAAGATTTTTTATGTTTTTGTTTCCTAACTTAGTGACTGGATAAATAGAATAATAGTTTAGGAAGATTAATATGGTAGTGGATGGGAGAGTACCTGTATACTGAAAAAGAATAGACACTCATAGTAAGAAGGTAAAGTATTTCAGTTATCCAGTTATAGAAGTAAAAAGACCTTCAACTCAGGAGGTGGCAGAGGGATGAAAAGATAGGAACATGTTAAGGGAAAAATTTGACAGGCCTTAATTAATTAAGGAGAACAATGGAAAGGGAGTCAAAAGAGATTTTTAATTTGGATGTCAGGGTAAAAAAAAAAATAAGTTCAGAGGTTTTAATTTGGAGATAAAATTGTCTTGAGACAAAGTGAGATGATGGTAGTATATCTGTATGGAAATGTCCATTGGGTAGTTTTAATAGGAGTTTGGAGAGAGACCAGGAGTGGAGGTATATATTTGAACGTCATTTGAATTGGTGCTTGTTGAGGTGAAGATCCCTGTGGGACAGTATAGTGTTACTTAGCAGAGAACTACTGGAGAAGATGCATAAGACTAAATGAGAGATTAGAGGGATAGCAGAAAAATCAGTGTGAAATGTCGCATAAGTGTAGAACAAAGAGGAAAAATAGTCTTCCACTCATTGATTTGGAGGGAGTGGGAGAGTTTGGGAGAACTTTTCGGGGAAAATGAGAAAGGAGGACAGGTTCTTTTTATTTTTTTTCAAGACAGGAATTATTAATAGTTGCTGGTGTGTTTAAATGGGCAACTCTGATATTATGAAGACAATACGTATATACTTTACCTCTTTAGTATATACTTTACCTCAAAATGACTAGGGTAAAATTAGTTTGATTTGCAGCATAGTAGGGACAAGCTGTTTCACAAACTTCCACTGTGAAAATTGAGGAAATAAAAATAATCTAATTTACATTTTAATTTTATTATGAAATATGTGAACATTAGAGAAAGGAAATACATAAGAAAACAAGGACATTAGTAGATTAAGGGGCTTTGATTACTACCAAAAATTCTAGCTAGACCTTGTCTTCTAGGTATTTTTAGGAAAAAGTCCAATTTACCTGATTGCAACTATCATATGTGTGAATCATGGTTCCCATTTGATCTGTGTAACACAGGAGGGCAAATCATGGAACTTTAGAAGAAATTGTCCTATGTATTTAATACTCTAGACCAAGTAGGGATTTTTAAAAAAAACTACATGAGAATTGTCAAACTCTATATATCATATAAAAAATATATGAAGAACTTCATGTACCCATAACTTGGCTTCAGCAATATCAGGTCATCGTTAATCTCTTCCCACACCTTTTTTCTTTTTTTTGAGACAGGGTCTTGTTCTGTCTTCTGGGATAGAGTGCAGTGGTGCCATGATAGCTCACTGCAACCTCAAACTTCTGGGGGCTTGAGCAATCCTCCTGCCTCAGCCTCTCAGCGGGGACTACAGGCATGCCCCATCACACCCGGTTAATTTTTCTATTTTTTGTAGAGAGGAGATCTCACTCTTGGTCAGGCTGGCCTGGAACTCCTGGCCTCAAGTGATCCTCCTTTCTGGGCCTCCCCATAGTGCTAGTATTATTAGTGTGGGCCACCATGCCTGGCCCCTCTTTTTTTTTTTTTTTAAATCAAATGCTGCTTATCTTATTTTTTTCTCCCTAAATATTTCAGTATTCATCTCGTCCAACAAAACAATAAATAATTCCTTAATAAAATATCATTGAAAATCGCCAGTGAGATTTCCCCATTCATCTCAAAAGTTTTTTGGTAGTTGGTATTTGAATCAGGATCCAGAAAAAGCCCATACACTGTTTTGGTTGTTACTATGTATCCCTTAAGTCTTTCCTTCTGCAACAGCCTCCCTCTTTTTTTCCTTATGCCATTGATTTCTTTTTGGAGGGATGGGTGAGGGGACAAACCAGGCTCTTCTGTGGAGTTTCCCACATCCTGGATTTGCTTCCTTAAGCTGTCATTTAACTTACTCCTCTATCTTCAAGTATTTACTGTGAACTGTCCTATTTCCAGAGCTGCACTGTCCTTTGTAATAGTCACTATTCACATGTAGCTATTGAGCACATAAAATATGACTTGTAAATTGACATGTGAGGTAAGTGTAAAATACACACAGGATTTTGAAAACTTAATATGAAAAAAATTGTAAAATTGCTCATTAAGTTTTATCTTGATTGTAATTGAAGTGATAATATTTTGCATATGTTGAGTTAAATGAAATGTATTAAATTTATTTTACATGTTTTTTTACCTCTTTTCAATGTGGTTACCTAGAAAATTTCAAATTATATGCGTAGCTTGCACTATGTATGTTATATATTAGTGCTGATCTAGTGGCTTGATTAGATTCAGGTTCAGTTGTTTTAGATTAACAATTCTTTATAGTGGCACAACATATTCCTATTGGATTACACCATGACACACAATGTCTGATTGTTCCACTCTTCTGAGATTGATCAGTCGGTTAAAATAGTGTCAGCCTAAAGGAGCAATGTTCAGTTTTACTAGTTATAAATTTAGTATTCTGGGCTCTAGCCAGTTTTGATTTGTAACATTCATCCATTTAAAATATGACTGTTAATGCTATGAAACAGTGTTTTATGGTATCACCCATAAAGTAAGAACTGATACTATGGAATTAATTCTGAACTATTTACTTTTTAGGAAACGTTTTGATGGCAAATTACAATCAGAATCAACTAATAGTGGAAAAAATAAGAGAGATGCAGATTTTGAAGGCACGGATGAACCCATCTTTGGGAAGAAGCCCAGGATAGAAGAGTCAATAACTGAAGACTTAAGGTAATATTTCCATAGTCCTAAATGTTAGTAACTCTTAATTTAGGTGGTTGCATGAAATTTTAAAAATTGATCGTATGTTGATATTTTTAAAAAGCATTTGCTAAGTTAGAGAAAGAAAGATAAATATTCTGAGTATATTCATACAAGCATGTAAATATAGAACATTTATCTGAATTTGGGAAATTAGAGGACAATATATAAAAGACTCATCTTTCACTACTTTAGAATCCAATTTTGAGAAAGAAATCTTAAAACCTGATATTTTTAAAAGAAGGGAATACATGTTTCCCTTATTCATTAATGTCTCAAGAAGAGGATCACTGGAAGAGTGGAATAAAAGGAAAAAAAAACCTGACCCAATGAAAGAAATAAGTGGGGAGGAACATTAGAAGAAATTAGATTTTCATGTCACATGTAGGAGTAGAGTGGCTATGAATTTCAAGACTCCTGCCATGGATATCTGTGGATTAAATAGCTAGTATTTATCTGATTTTGAAAGCTGGAACTTTATAAAAGTTGATGCCAGTATCTTAGGGTGGCCTGTTTCCTTTTGTGGTGATGATCTTTACAACTTTGCTTCTCCCTTCTTGTGTGCCGTATTCCAGCTTGGCCCTACCATGAAGAGTTTATTCTTTCTATGATTTTTTTTTAAACCATTTAACTGTTGTTATAGGTAATAAAATTATATTCTATAAATAGGGATAGATGTGTCACTGAAATATTTAAGATATACCATTTGCCCAAGCTACTGTACTAGGTTAAAAGATAATATTGGTAGTATAAAATCATTGTTTCTTATTGTTGAAATTTTTGAGTTTTATCCAAAATATTATTATTAACTTAAAGGAAATATCAGAAGCACAATAAATAAGAGAGTAATGAATCTACCAAAGACATTTATCTATTTTTTTTCAGTTTATTGGCAGTTGTGTTCTTTCAAAGACCAGAGAACCTAGATGAATATAACTTGCGATTTTGAGGACAATAAGGAAAACTTCTGTAAATTATAGCAACATCTAAATTGGGCTAGCATATTTTGTACTTTCTATTGTGTAATGGTTTTTATAACCAGCTTTGTGTTTTGAAGTAGTGACAATGCTTTGTGGAGGTACTTTTTATTTAAAGTAGTTATTGGAACTAAGCTGACATAATTCTTTGAATGATATACTTGCCAGTCTGTTGTGTATTTGTAATAAAAGATGTTAACTGGCTGGGCTTGGTGGCTCACACCTGTAATCCTAGCACTTTGAGAAGCTGAGACAGGAGGATCTCTTGAGCCCAGGAGTTTGAGGTTGCTCTGAGCTATGATGATGCCACGGCACCCTAGCTGGGGCGACAGAAGAAGACTGTCTCAAAGGAAAAAATAAAGAGATGTTAACTGACCATTTTGGATTTTCAGTATGTATGTGAATAATGTAAAAAAATTTCTGAATAGCAAAAGTTTTTCTGATTTGGAATACTGATAATTGGGCTGTATCATTTTCCTTAACAAGCAGTTGAGAGGCTTATCAAATTATAGAAAAATAACTTATATCTGTGTGACTTTAACAATTTTCTTTTAAAGTTTGGCAGACCTGATGCCCAGAGTCAAGGTACAATCCGTTGAAACTGTCGAAGGGTGTACACATGAGGTAAGTGCAAATGGCATACAGTAGGTTAGTGTTAATAGATGTGATTTTTCTTTGAACTGTGTAGTATAATGATCAGCAAGCAGTTTAGCTTTGAGGGCCTTTGAAACGACAAATAGTTTATTTGGAGTACACGTAGTCTAGTGGAAGAGTTGGGGTTTTTTGTAATTAAATCTGCGTTCATCCTGGCCCAGCATTTTCCTAACTACAATCTTGGGTAAATTTCTTAACCTGTTTGAACATTGGTATTTTAATTTGTAAATTTGGAATAAGGGGATCTACCTCATGGGGTGATTATGAAGATTATATAAGAAAAGTACTCTGCACAGAGTAGATATTTAGTACATGTTCATTTTCATGCTTCTAAAGTCAAGTAACAGTGCTATTTTTGCAGGTTACATCTTATTTTATGTCTTTGTCCAATGACTGATAAATTGCAATGTCTTTGTTCTGCCACAAGATGGTGGTCATTGATAGCTTGTAATATTCATTTAGCTGTGAGAATTTAAACATGAGGGGGACATAAGGGAACTATAACACGTTTTCTCTCTTAAGCCTGTTATCATTACAGTATAAACTATAGCAAGTTAGAATTACGGGTACTTGGAGAATCTTTTGAAAAGTCTATTGAATAAACAGTAATTCCAAATTAAAAAAAATTGCTTTTGATATAGATTTAGAAACTTATCTTTTAAAATACCTATTTGTCTACTGAAAGTCCTTTATATTTCTTTAGAAAGAGCACTTAGTCTGGCTGGTATAATGTCCATTTGATCATTCCTTCAAGATTTATGTTAGAACCTGTTCAATCCTCTGGGCTTACTAACGATGGGAAACACACGCACGCACACGCACACGCACACACACACACACCCATTCCTCAGGAGGTCAAAAGCTCTTTCTGTGCTCCACTGTTATCTTCAAGACCGCCATTCTGTCACCTCCTCTCACTTTCTCAGCAGGCTAACTTTACCTCATACTTTAGAAGCTTGAGGATATTAAATTGAGTGTCCTCTGATTATAACCTCCATTACCAAGCCTGTCTGTAACTGTCACATCTCCCTTCCAGGCTAAAGATGGTGGTTCTGCCAGTGTTCTTGGTTGTGCCTTATACTGTCTCCACTAAGACTTTGTTTCTTTTAATTTCCCTTTGTTTCTAGAGTCTCCTTTTTTCTATTTGCCATTTCTTACCGGTGTATGGACTTTAAAAGTTTCTCTTTTGTTCTAGGTTGCTTTTCAGCCACTGTGTGGTTTTCTTCTTCCTTGTTGTTTCAGGAAAATCCTGGGACAGTATTGAAAAACTGTCCCCTAAACTGAGAGGGAGCCAAGAGACCAACGAATGACTCAGCCAAGTCCACCTTGCTGAGTTAGATGACTTTATTAGAGGCTGCTTACAAGGGCACTTGTTCCTGGGCGGCATAGGAATTTCTTCCACAGGAGCTTTCTTGCATGTATGATCTACATCATCGTTGCCGCCTAAATCCCTTGCCAATGAGTGAAGCAGAACTTTTACATTGTAACATTGTTCACAGTGAAACAAATCACACCTGAGTGGTACTATCATCATGGGCTGTCATACCACCCATGTTATGTTAATAATATTATAATTTTCTAGTAGGCAGAGATTTTAGTATTACAGTGAGCTAAAGGGCACTGTAAGACAGCTAAAGCAGTTTTAGAGCAGTGAGGGCTGGTCTGAGCTGGCTGTTTCAGGGCAAGAAAGTGCTGGGTACTTCTTGGTACTTGCTTAATCTACTTTGTAACAATTTCTTGAGCACTCCAGGCTAGCACAGTGTTTCCGTTATGTGGTAGGGAACTTGGCATTTTTCCCTCACAAATTGTACTCATTTATTCAATACTTACCTTTTGAGTACTTGGTGCATTTTATTATGTATTGAGGATAAAGATATAAACAAAAGAGACGTGGTCCCTTCCTTCTCAGAGTTGTCTATTTGAAGAACCCGTTAGACTTTCCAAACTTCCATTCATTTTTTAATCCACTACAGTTAGATTTCTTCTCTCCATTTCTTTGAAACTGCTCTATCAAAAATCACCATTGAATAATTGCTAAGGATTTGACTTTTTTTTTTTTTTTCTGAGACAGTCTCACTGTGTTGCCCGGGCTAGAGTGCCGTGGCGTCATCCTAGCTCGCAGCAACCTCAAACTCCTGGGCTCAAGCAATACCTTCTGCCTCAGCCTCCCGAGTAGCTGGGACTACAGGCATGCGCCACCATGCCCGGCTAATTTTTTCTATATATTTTAGTTGTCCGATTAATTTCTTTGAGACAGAGTCTTGCTCTGTTGCCCGGGCTA